CAACTCTTAGAATCAGATCCTGCTCCAGCTAACCACATCCTGGCTATCCAGAATTTGCCTAAGTCTTCCCTAAATGCAGAGGATGTGGCTGCAGAAACAGCCACTGATAACACGCTAACACACGTGTTGAACTGGGTACTGTCAGAATGGCCTGATACATGTCCTGGCACCAACTTCCAGAGTTTCTGGAAAAGAAAGCATCAGCTATCCACCTTTAAGGGTTGTGTCCAGTGGAGTAGCAGGGTAGTGATCCCAACCTCATTGAGGACTAGAGTCTTGCAGTCTCTGCATGAGGGGCATCCGGGCATAGTCCAGAGGAAAGCACTTGCACACAGCTATCTCTGGTGGCCGGGGCTTGATAAAGAGATTGAGACCCAGGTCCATGGGTGTCACAGTTGCCAACAGTCCAGGCCTGAAATGCACAGGCTCCTGTGCATAGATGGGAGGACATACATGCTTCTTGGTCAAGGGTTCATATCGACTATGCTAGCCCCTTTCAGGGGCAATTCTTCCTTATTGTTGTGGACAGTCACTCTAAATGGCTAGAGATCGTTCCAGTATCTACCACAACTGCTGCCAGGACCATCCAGGTGCTGAGGGGAATCTTCGCCTCTCACAGGCTCCCAGATGTTCTTGTCTCCGACAACAGACCTCAATTCACCTCTTCAGAGTTCCAGTCCTTTCTGAAAGCCAACATGATTCGTCATGCTACTTCAGCACCGTTTCATCTGGCTTCCAACGGCCAAGGTAAGCGCATGGTACAGATGCCTTGAAGAGGTTCACTTATGGGAGCTGGCACCACAGGTTAGCTGATTTTCTCCTTTGCCACTGCACCACACCTTGCACAGCTACAGGTAAGAGCCCAGCTGAACTCAGCTGGGGTCGCCGTCTTATTACCAAATTAGACAGATTACACCCAGACCGGGTGGCTTCACATGTTTCACAGCAACAGGCATCGAGACTACAAGTCGGTGATCCAATTTGGGCAAGGAACTATGGACTTGGACATCTTTGGGGGATAGCAGTGGTCTGCAAAGTCACTGGGCCACTGTCATACAAAGTGATTTTGGAAGATGGTCATGTGCTGCATCAGCACATTGACCAGCTGCGATGGAGGCTACCTAGTCATCCTTCCGCTCCTGACCCTGCTCTTGGGGGGGAGGAGGACCATGATCACGATTGTGGATCTCAGTCTCACTGTATAAGTGGGGGCTTGCACTCTCCAAATAGGGGTTTTGCCAATGAGGCGGCTCCTGACTCTGGCACTGGGTCCATGGGACATTGCACGCAAGCAGCTTCTCATGCCACACCTACCTCAGGCCTTGTGCCGATGGGACAGTGTTCCCGACTGGGGTCTCTCACTGATCCGGGGAATTCTACCCTACCAAGGAACTCTGGTTTGGGCTTACTAGAAAGAGCCAGCCGAAGTCAAAGGGACAAAGGATTGGTCCTACCGGGCCAGGCCAGCTAGCAAGATCCAGGTTTGCCCACATCAAAGGGGCCTCAAAGTCCCAGTCTGCCGAGACTGGCAGGCAAGCTTGCAGACTGGGCGGTTATAACAGCTCCGAGACGAGCGGAGTGGGCCAGAGGCTCTCCAAAGTTCTTACAAGATTATGTAAGGTTCATGTCAGTAAGCGGGCAGGCCTAGTGTTCCCTAGAAATAAGAACACACGCAAAAGAGTAATGTGATATTATAAAGTATCAAGTATGTTGTGGAGAGTGACTTGTAGTAGTTGAAATAGTAGTATCTATTTTTTGAACCAAGAGGGGAGGGATGTTATGTCCTGGGCCTGTGATTGACAGAGCAGGTGCAGGATGCTGCAGAGAGACCCGGGTGGATCATGTGGCCTGCCCGGGCCAGACAGGGTGTCTCCAGCCTATTGCGCTTGCGCAGAGCAGGAAAATATGTTGCATTTATTGGCTGATGCTGTTCCATGCAAAAGGTATAAAAGGGATCAGCGCCATTTTGTGTTGTTCGGTTAAAGCTGAAATAAAGAAGCATCTGTTGTTACTCCTGCCTCGTTTCAATGCCTTACCAACACAGGAAACAGAACACTTGTAGTCTTGGGCCGTAAGCATCATTGGCTGGGTTAGCACAACGCAAAGATCCAGGAGCTTAACTTTTTTTTCTGTCTCAACAGATTTGCTTAGTTTTTGAATGGCCCACTGGGATGCACTTTCTTGGAGTTGGGCCAGACACTCAGTTTGACTTAATTTTATTTACATGAAATGTTAATAAAAGATAAAGATACACTTCTTTTCTATTTGATGGCTTCTCACCCCTGCTTTAGATAACAGTGCATAAATAGCTCTGCTAGATTGACCCAAATGTATCTCAGTCCAAGATTTTGTTTCTTGCAGTGCCCACTAGATACTGCTGGGTATTCACAAGCAAGAAATGAGGGCATCCTCTGCACCTGATAGTTGGACCGTACTTCCCCCAGCTTGGAAGCGTTCACAATTAATAACCCTTAATGCGCCTGTCCTTATTGGGCCAAAAATCTATCCAAGATGATTATCCCTACATTACATACTATTGAATTAAACAGGTTAAGAACAATGTATTTGGTTTGTAGATGAAAGGAAGGGCCAAGGTAGATTTATCCGAGAATGAGTCTTGTTAAAGGACTGCCAAGGAAGGACTACCTAAGATGGAAGCTGAGTTCTTAATAATAGCAGAATCAAACCTAGCTCAGTTTAGGTTATGTAATGATCTGATCTCTGCTAGTAATCCATCAATGGCAGGAACAAACGTCCGTTGGCTTTACACATTGCATTAGGCGATCGAACAGGTTGGTTTGGTGATGGCTTCCTGACCTATATGAACCTAAGCAATTATGAGCTTCATTGCTGTCCTTCAGAACTTTTTTTTTTCAATTTCCCACTCTCGTAGTATCTTTTCCACCAAGTCAGACCTTTTCCTTTTCTTTTCTTTTTTGTAATTTATTGATTTTTTAAAACATAAATCACTTAATAATTGGTGAACAGTGTGTTCTCTGCGTTTACATTTGTAAAACCAGGTTTTTTTTTTTTTTTGTCATAGAATGTCCAGAACGGAGTTCCAGCACCTTTTTTTGATAGAACCTTGTAGGATAGGCAAGGCGGGTTGTATGACATGTGTGAGTTCCAGCACTTTTTTTTTTTTTTACAAAAAAAGCACTGTGTAAAACAATCACTAGCAATTGATTTCTGTAATCCATAATCCACTTAATACTTTTAATTGATTTCCTCCTTTCCCCAAAATATCCTTTTCTGCAAACATTGAGTTAATACAATTCTTAATGATTTGATAGATAACAATTAAATATATAATTTTTTCCAAATATTCCTAAAAATAATAATCAAATCAATATAATATTTCTTTTCTATACAATCATTCTGGTTGCCTTATCATAGATCCTGTTACAGTCCTTATTTAAATTTGTTTCTCCCACAAGATTCTAAGTAATCTTACTGGTTAAGATTTTCTCAAAAAATAATTTCATTTAAAAATTTAACTCTATTTTTTCCATATGAATCATCTCACACTTTTACATTTCTTATGGAATAGATAAAACAGTGAAAAAAAGGAGAGCAAGAATAAAGAAACATAAAAAATAACATACTACTTAAAATATATATCCCTCTTAAGCTAATATATATTTGTTTCCAATATTTCTTATTCTTTTTAACCATAATTAAAAATATGTTTAATCTTTAAATATTCCATTTAATACATCTAGCCATTTAGTCCTTTAACTCTTATTCAAAACATTTTTTATTCATTATAATTTTCTTAAATTTAATCACATTTAAATATCTAAAACATTTACTTTCTCTAAGCCATTTCAACTTTTTTATATTACTCATATCAAGAAATAGAATAAAAAAGGGGGGGAAAGCATACTATATTATTTAGAAGATTCATCCCTCTTAGAGTGACATATATATTTCACATCTTTTCTATTTCTTTAACCATATTCAACCAAGTGTTTCTTTTTTAAGTATTCTCTCTGGTAGGTCCCATCATCTATTTTCTTGATTTCTACTTTGGTCTTTTTCCTTTGCCCAGTATCTTTATTAATCAATGTATTTTGCTGAGTCAAAAGGTTTTTCCATATGTTCATAAATGTTAGATGTTCCTGACATTTCTACAGTCCAATATATCTAATCTGTTTTCTTGTCCTCAGATTTATTTTGCAGTGTTAAGGGATAAGTTATTTTTTCCAATTCTTGTGATTTCCCCCCCCCCATTAGGATTAAATCATGGTTCCTTGTTTTGTTAAGTTCCATCTTTAAGTCTCTATTCTCAATTTCGTATCCATTTATCTGTTTTATCTGGTCCTTCCCTGTTGTTGTTTTCTGGGATTTTTTTTTTTTTGTTGTTGTAGAGTTAACCTGGGACTATATTCTAATGTAGTTGGATATGGTTAGGGATATAGAAGAGATGTATTTTCTCCTCTTAGCTTTTTCAAAAGTTTTCATGGGGGGCAGGTCACATCTGTATTTCCTGCAATAATGTTCTGGATCCAATCAGTATAATCGAAGACCTTGGTGTAGACGCCAGGCTCACGTGGTTGGGCACAAATATCGCCCCCCCAAGATACAATGCCCTGGATTTCTCCATTACAGATGAGGGGTCCCCCAGAGTCACCCTGTTGAAAAAAATCAAACATGAAACATTACTACAGTATCTATGAATGGAAAGTGGAGCAAACAATTCCCTCCCATTGTCCATTCACATATAGCCCCCAATATTTCACTTTGATGTTCCCCAGTCCAGGATCCTTGTAGAAGAATTTAACTCCTTGTGTTTCCCCCACCAGAATCACCAATATTGGGAAGTCTGGAAATCTAGACACCTAGAAGGCACTTGAGTTAGAAAAAGCCATAACTTTGTATGTTTGTACAAGATGCCTTCAAGGCTAGATCTCTCTCACAGCTTTGAAATTTGGCATCATTTCTTTAGGAGTCTGTCTTAAAACGGATCATCTTACATCACATGAACTTTTGCCTCCTTCCAGGATACCTGCACACAATGTTCTGCTTGTTGCTGGCAACCTTGCGTAAGCTGTTCGACACACCTCATAATCGAGTATGTTAATGTTAGCACAATGAGGGACACAGGGCAAAGTCACTGAAAAAAATAAAAAATAGGCAAAATTCTATCTTTCACAATTTACCACCTAGATGCATAGAGCTATAATTTCCATTGTCTCCAAGCAGTGGAGCTGATCTCATTGCCTGGAATAGGAAGTATTGTCTTTTAAAGCTGTTCAAAGGGACTCCTGGGAAAAACAGATTTAGTTAAATGTTTTTTCTCAAGATATTAATAGGTATTCCATCAGCTGATGGGCATTTGAAGGCTTCTCAAATTTCTCCAGCACTCTACGCAAAGATTGCCTTGTTGGAAAAGTGGGGCTTTTCCTAGTTCAAAAGTCACAGAACTGATCTCGCATCCCCTGGAGATGACCTAGAACGGAGGGTCTCCAAACATGGCCATTTTAAGACTTCGGAACTTCCACTCCCAAAATTCCTCAGCCGGCATACTGAAACTTCCATATCTGAAGATGAAGCAGACCTGTAGGTTTGTATTGTGTACAAGAACAAAAAGCCAGGAATCTTGTCTAAAAGATCCATTGGGGAGGACAGATGAGGTGGAAATAGGTCTAAGGAAACAAAGGAAAAATATCATCTGAATCTGACAAAGTTGAGCCTGAGAATATGGAATAAACCCCAATCCCACCTAATCAACAAATCAAGAACTTTTGAGGATAAAATGGTGTACTAAAGCTCACGCATTCCTTGAGTCATCTTTGGATCCACAAATTAGGTGTTTCTGTCCATCTAGCTGGTGCCTGGCAGCCTAATTGAGAAGGATGTGTCTAAATATGGATGGGTGGATGTGTGGGTATGAGAAAGAACAAATTTACATTGCAAGCAGTAAAGTTTTGCTGTTACTTTAAATTCACTGGGTCTCCATGTATTCAAAAACAACAAACAAACAAAAAAACCCTGTGGTGCTTCAGTGGTGAGTTGAAAATTATTTGTTTGAGTCCTTAATTATTTCCCAGCTCTTGACCAAGCCTGTTTGACTTGTCTGCTCTAGCTACACCTATTTGGTAGAAACCTAGGTAGAAAACAAGATGGGCTTACAAGTTCTACCTACCTTGGCAGGCTTGAATGTGTGGATGACCATAAGCCAAAGCTGAGAGCACATGTATCACTTCCATGGCCTTACTAGCAATAGCAATAGCACTTAGACCTATATACTGCACTCTCTGGATGATTTAAAATATCCGCATATTGCCCCCAACAGTCTGAGATCTCCTTTTATCAACCACAAAAGGATGGAAGGCTGAGTCAACCTTGAGCCCTGTCAGGAACAAATTCTAGGCTGGGAGCAGAGATAGCCTGCAATACTGTATTCTAACCACTGCACCACCAGGACTTAAAAGGAAGAAGTCCTCTGCAACCATCCACAGAGATTTTATATCCATCCAAGGATAGACCATGTTTTTGAGTTCATATTTGATATTTTGAGAGCGAGTAGTAAATATACTCTGAAAACATCCTCCATGGGAGATTTCTCCATTTCCAAAATGGCCATGATCATTCACAAAATACCCCATTATTAAAGGTAATGAAGTCATGCAAGACTGCCATGCTAATAGGACTTTTCTGATTCCCAACAGCACTGCTATAAATAAACCTGATCCTTTAGGTTTTTTTTTTAGCTATACAGCATGCCAGTGCCTTACTTATTTCTTTTATTCCAAGGACCTTGTGGGTGTGGAACAGATGAAGAAATGGAATCTTAGGGAATCCCATTGTTCATCCACATTCCAATATTCATGGATGACATAGTGAGACCCTAGACCTAGTTGGTGTTACATCAAAAGCTGGGTCTGAGAGTATAGACAGAGATCCCTACCATTAGGAGATGTGATTGCGCCCCATCCCATAATTTGGCAAACTGAGCCCACACTGGGAGGGTTGGAAGGCAAGCTGAGAGGCGCGATATGTTCACTGTTGCTAACAGGGCTGTCCAGCCTGATCAACATGATGTCCTTGTCCTTTTCATCATTTTTTTCCCTATTGGGACAAATGAACTTCTCCTTTGCGACTCTTTTCTGCACATCCTTATTTAGTCCCTTTAGTCTATGCACACCGAAGAATATGAGCATATTTCCCCTACAAGAAAAACAACAACAAATTAACAACAACAAATTAAAGTAAACTCTATATTACTTGGGATGTTCCTTGGCCCTCAACCAGGATTGTTAGCACCTGAATCCTGGAAGAGTTACTGTCAATGTCCTAGAGATCTGGGTACGCTCAAGAAATTTGTTCAAGGTGATTGAATAAGCTATTTCCATAGTTTATGTAAAATCTTGAAGCGTGAATTTACCTGTGTGCTGTTTCGCACTCAGAAACCTCAGCATATAGTATGAATCCATCTCTTTCTTGACTTGGATGTGTATTGTGTGAATGTTGCACTTATAAATTATAGATGGCTGTGTTTCAGATAGAACCCATGTGGTTACAGTACTAATGTTATGACTTTGTATTGTGCACATCCTCTCTCAACCCAGCCTATCTCAAAGGATGGTGGGATAGATAAAGACGAACACAAAATCTGGATGGTGCCCACTCTGCTCTTGTTAAGAAGAGGTATTAAGGTGTAGTGGCTCACCCAGGCCTTTGATAAGGGAGAGAGAAGCCTCTCACTTCATCATCTTTTTATCTTTTATGTTTTACTGATTTTTTTTAAAAAAATATTTTCTTATGGCAAACCCCCAGAGACAGGCAGCATATGGTTAATATTTTCTGAGCAGTCAGCCAGATATTTAGACTGGGGTAGGAAAATTTTGTGGTTCCATGGTATTACAGGGATTGTCACAGGATGTTACAAGTAAAGCTGCCTTTTGCAATTGACTGTGGTGATTTTGTCAATGCTGATGGTATTCAGGTAATGTTCCAGATTTTGTTATTCTTGTTATTATTATATCCCAGAAAAAAGGAAAGATATGAATACTGTGGTGAAGAAGAAGGAAATTCAACCGTAAATATAAACAACATTGCTCAAGATATGATTGTGAGGAGCAATAGCAGTAACAGCAGAACACTCATTCAAAATGCACAGAGAAGTCACAAAAAACTAGCAGAAACATTATAAAAAACTGTGGATATCTAACCACGATCTCCCTCAACCCTTCCACATTCTGTAATGCCCTCACCTGTCGCAGTGTGCAGCGGTCAGCACCCATTCCTCGTTGATCAAAGTCCCAGCGCAGAGAAAACCGCTAGTGATATACACGAGTGCAAGGGAACGATGTTCATTTATGTTACATTCATCACCTCCAATGACCAGTTCAGAAGACTTTTGTGCTGCAAAGAAACCAAAAAAGTTCAGTGTTTAGCTGTGGAGTAGAACAGAGTCACTTTTATTGGTAGTGTTTCTATCTGTACACTAATTTTGATGGGTAACAGATGACTGTGGGACATACAGCATGAAACCAGTTGAATAAAATGGATTATTTGCAAATCATATATATGCCTACACCCATATCCATAAACTACATGTGAATATTAAGTGATTAGTATGTGTGTGTGTGTGTGTGTGTGTGTGTGTGTGTGTACACACTAATTTTGGAGGGTAAGAGATGACTGTGGGACACACAGCATCAAACAAGTAGAATAAAATGGATTATTTGCAAGTCATATATATGCCTAAGCCCATGTAGGTAAACTACCTGTGAATCTTAAATTATATATATGTATGTATGTATGTATGTATGTATGTATGTATGTATGTATGCTGCTCGAAGCACGAAGCTGAAAACACCAGCCTGAAGATGACGAATGGGACTTCGTTGAAACGTCGCCAAGACACTTCCAATTTTACGTGGGAGAAAACCCGAACAACCAAAGACCTACATACAAACACCCGCGAAAACCTCAGAAAACATATATATATATATATATACATACATACATACATACATACATACATACATATATATATTACTAAGAATATTAAAAGCAAAACGGTGATTCCTAGATAGACTCATGTTAAACAATAAAATACATGAACACCAGGAAGTTGTAAAACTATAAAAATTTTTAATAAAACCAAGCTTTTGCTGGCATTTGCCAGCATCATCAGGGTAGCCTCCAGTCGATGGGAGAAGCTATTTATAAATGTGGCGTTCTTTGCGCCCGGCTTCTTGACCTCGTCATGGGTCCCAGCCAATCCACCTGCATTTTGATCGTAGTTTCTATGTTGCAAGCTGTAATTTCCTCACTTTCCTTGCTTGTGTCGGTACCGCAGCTCTTCCTCCCTTCTTTGCATGACTGTAAGTTGGGGGGACTCCTTAATTCCACGTAATTAGATATGCACTGTCTGTGTTTATGTTGTTTGTTGGCGGTAAGGAGAGGCGACCAACATTCCCAAATCGGAGCACATATGCTAGAATCTGGGCATAGGTTCGATTTTAATAACGTGCAGGTGATGGCTAGTGACAGCACGAAGGGGAGCCGGCTCCTTAAAGAGGCGTGGCTCTCCAATGAAGAATCCATCAACAGACATGTGGACCTATGCCCAGCACTTGTAACATTAAGAGCATGGGCAATGCGTGACCGTCCTTCCGGAGGAAAACAATGTAACATTACGTGCCTTCGGCAAAGAGGGTTGACGGAGGAGACAAGCCTTGGAAATGCCCAGACAGGGAATAATCAGCAGCTGAGTAACTCTCCACCTGCTGAAACATATGTCCCTCCCCCATGGACACAGGAGTGTATTGACAACCAAGAGCCAAGTGCCGATGAATCGAGGGCCTCCCTGGGAACAGCGAGGAGTTTGACAAAAAAGCGATCTGGTATAGACTCTGGGTTATTAAACAATCATGATTCGAAGGATTGGAATGCCACATGTAACTCCACCGGCGATCCTGCAACTAACTTCACCAATGACAGTTCCCGATTGAGCTGTTATTGCCTTGGGAATGCAGGAGAACAACGGGGAGATGAGAAGCCTGTTCACTATAATCTTAGAGCTTCTACACACTCCTACAGACATTTGAGAGGAACGACTCCCCGTAGGAATGCACAAGGGGATGCAAGTCACGACCGTAAGGACCCCGCCTCTCTCCCTGTAAGGAAGATTGCATACCCCCAAGTAATGAGCGAATACACAAACAACAGTGAAGGGACAGCCCCCTTGGGAGAAGGGGTCAACAATCAATTTGTGGGTGCCACGAATTCTGGAGAGGGTGTCAAAATCACCCCCATTGAAGAGAAAATAGAAAGGGGAGTTAGTAAAGAGATACAAAGGATCGGGAAACAGGATGATATAAACACAATGGAATCTTGGGCTACAGAGACAAACAATGAGGGTATAACTTTGAAAGAGGATCGTAAACAGAGAAATAGGGGGAGGAGAAGAGAAATAGGGAGTACTAAGAAGGAGGATGAGGAGAACAAACAACATAAACACAGACAGTGCATATCTAATTACGTGGAATTAAGGAGTCCCCCTGACTTACAGTCATGCAAAGAAGGGAGGAAGAGCTGCGGTACCGGCACAAGCAAGGAAAGTGAGGAAATTTACAGCTTGCAACACAGAAACTACGATCAAAACGCAGGTGGATTGGCTGGGACCCATGATGAGGTCAAGAAGCCGGGCGCAAAGAACGCCACAT